AACACAACCTACTGTTAAATCTTTTTCTCTCAATCCATATCTGACCAAACGAATGGGACCATATCCCTATTCATAAGAAATACATTCACATCCAGGTGGATGCTGCACATTGGTGGTGGTGGAGGGGAGTCCCCATAACCTGTAAAGTGCTTTGAGTGGAGTGTCCAGAAAAAAGCGCTATATAACCTTGAGAGTGTTTTTAACCTAGGAATTCTTTATACAGGAAATCAGTTTTTTTTTAAAAGGTTCAAATATTAAACTAGGATGTGGTCCATACAGTTGATCCAAACCAGAACCTCTAACCTGGTATCTCCCCCCCGATGATTTATAATAATTTACCTAGAATTTAATTAAGCAAGATTAAACCAGATTATTCCTTTGATCAATTAACAATCTCAGAGCCTTAGAGCTTAGTAAATACCTGAGTTGTTTTCTGGCTTTGAAGCTCCTCAGAACTGCTAACTAGCTAAGTGTTGACCAGTCTTTAGATTCTTAATACACCATAATAGCCACTTCTAATAATTGTAATGATGATGTAGCCATATTAATTCTGTTTCATCTAATTCAGACACTGTTAGTAACCTCAACCTCAATGGATAGTGTTTTTTTAAAAGTGTAGAAAAAAGTAGAAGTGGAATAGAAAATAATACTTTTGCATTTTAAATGTTTTTAATATAAACAAAATTATATTAAACTATTTTTCAGTATACAAATTGCAGTCTGGTTCATAGGTTCTTATCTTCTAGGTTCATTGTAAGTTTTTCTGCTCTTTACGGACTGCTGACAACAGATTTTCTCTTCGTTACATCAAAACTTAAAAAGATCATTCTTATACCCAAAGAATTTAACACTCCATACAACACAATACCATTAAGGCTGGCCTGATTTTTAGCACAAAACACCTCTATCACTGCCACAGGACCACTCTCAGGGGAACTCTACCATGTATTGTGAAAGTCTAATATAATAAGATGTGTACCATTAAAACAAAATGTATTTTACCACACAGGATCTTTGGAGTTTGAAAGGTCCAAAAAATGCAAAACAAACACTGAATCAACAAGGTATAAATGAACATTATAGGTAGCGTTCAATAAGAAATCAGCAGTTCTGCCACCTTGCATTTCTGTATCAAAACAGTCTATCCTTACTTGGAGTCAGCCTTTTAATTCTGAAACCCCTCCCAACTTTTCAACCAATTACATGTAATTCCAGTTAAAACAAAACTCCTTTGTATATAACTCCACCTCACCAACAATTAACAAAACATGCACATATATGTGTGGAATAATTCTTTAAATTATCCATTCACAAAAATAAGGATTCCTTAATAAGGTTTCTATTATGTCTGCTTTGTGAAATGCAAATTTGGGGTTCACAGCAATATGAAAGAATGGTGAGATCATAGCTGCTAGATGGTGCTCTGAAACCAGGTGCTCAAGGTGGGCGGCTGTCCAGCTACTGCTCTTTTAAGAAACACCTTGGATCTTAGCCATAGTTCTGGCTTCTTCATTCTGAGCCAAACACCATATACAGTAAACACCACATAAAAACACAGCGATGCACATTTATAATTATGTACATTTTTTATACATTTTTCTTGATTGGCTGTAACACCTAAACACTCAAAAATATATGACCACCCTGTGTGTTGTTCTCAGACGTCTTATATTTCTTTATCACAGTAGTAATTCCATGTTGGCTTGCGCAAACATTTTTGCTGGCAGTGTGAGGGTGCAAGGGTACACCGTCAAAATCAACTTATTATTCTGGCATATTCTTCCACAGCAGCAGACTACAGACTAGGTACTAAACTTTAGTGCTTTGATTACATAGAACTTAACATTACCCAATGAATACAGACATTGAAATGAAAATCACTCAGTGAAGAAGAATAGAAATTAATTTTACAAAATAATTAGCTTGCAGTCTGCTGAACCCCCTGGATGAACTGACTATATGTTTTGGGTCATTATGGTGCACAGCAAAGTGGCATAATGACCCAAAAAATAATTAAATGCAACAAAAGACATCACCATGAGAAAAAAGTAGAAAATCTTAAACTGGCCAAGTCAGAACACCTCAAGAAGAGGCAAGTATACGAAGTATAAAGGTAAAATATCTTTAAAAAAAATCTCAAATGATTCCACAATGTTTTGATTAAATTAATGGGTCACAGACTTCATGTAATTGTCCCAAAAGGATATGCAAACAAATAATGATTTACATTTTGGAATTTACTTGAACTGAACATGTACTAATATACCAATCACTGAAGGCAAAATAAGCTTTTTTTTTGGTTGCTAACAAGTGTTTTACAATACCGAGTTCACTTTTTCAAACTTCTTCACACAGTTAACACAACAGCCCTCTATGTGGACCAAACCATGAATGATTTTTTAATTGTTTAGGCACAAAATGCATTCGGTGAACATAGTTTTCAAAATCCTTCAATTAACTTCTCACTCAAGCTCCACTACCAGCAAAACAGTGTGTTTTAACAGCTCAATTTGCAAATGCTTGCATATTCCGTCTCAAACTGATAACACTAAATTTGAAAACCTAACATATATAGTAAAAGCAAAGGGGATAGCAATTTGCTAAGTCACAAATATTTTTGAACACATTCAAAGTGCAAAACAAAGATTTTGATAAAGGTTACTGAGAAACTGCTGATTGAAGTTATGTAAATAGATCACAGTTGATTCCCACCTCAGTTGAAAACCTACCCAGGTGCTGAGAAATTTTTAATTGCATGACCAATCTTATAGAAAGAGGAAATCTTTGGAAAGATTCAGCATGGACCCAGCAAGAGTGGTCACCCACGCAGGAGTGGGTGAAAGACAAAAGGCTGTACAATGGAGAGGAAGAGGAGTTCGAAAGCGTGGTGGCATTCACCACAGAGAAAGACCACAAGCTATTGTGTCTGATAAGATAAGAGCTACCATAATAGACCATAAATCTTGTCATAAATGTCATAAATCTTGGTCTGTCATTGAGAGAGGCTGGTCTAAGAGTTCATCCAAATCTCAACCGTTCAACTGTCGCATCTATAGTAAGAACTTTCCAGCGAACCAACAGGTAAGTTATACATTTTACAAAGGTTTACACTGAAATGCATACAGTAAATATTATCCTCTAGAACCACTGCTAATGTGTAATTGTACAGTATTTGCTCTATAGGACCCAATGACTACCTCCCTCAGGGGGGAAGAGGAAAGACGTTCAATGTTGAGCAGGACAGGGCCATTGTGAACATGGTTATTGCTAATAATGCAATCAAACTTCGAGAAATCCAGGCCAGAGTGCTGGCAGACAGTTTTTCAAAATGTTCAAAGTGTCAACCTCACAACGATAGCTCGGACCCTGACGAAACACATATCAGCATGAAGCAGTTGTACACATTTCCTTTGAAGAGGAAAAGTGATCGTATCAAGGAGCTCAGGCACCAGTATGTGCAGGTAAGGTGTCTACTCAACTGTAATGGTTTTGAACAAAACTTAGGGCACTTGTAGGACACAGTACTCACTGCCTTATTGTTTTTACCGTAGGTACACAGTAATGCCTTTACTGTATTGCCTAATCTGTTTGATTTCTGCTAGAGAGTCATGGAGCTGGAGGCCAGTCTGACACCCCATGAAATAATTTAGCAAATTGGGCAAAAAGGTGCTGATGGGGACGGAATGTAATAGGACTGTGAGCCACAGGGGATGATCCAGGTTAGAAGGGTGGCAATATAATCGGGCCATATAATGCAGAGCGCCTCATTTCATTTGTGGATGAATTATATGGAAGGCTTGTGTTTGAGGAGGAAAGGGGACAGGTGAGGCCAAACATGCAAACATTTGTGATGACGTGGGACAATGTAGCCTTTCACCATTCCCCATGCAGTCACAGACTGGTTTGCAGCCCATCCAAGCATGGTTTCCGTTTTCCTTCCACCTTATTCACCATTCCTCAACCCTATAGAGGAATTCCTTTCCTCATGGAGGTGGAAAATGTATGATCATCGTCCACATGATCAGATGTTCCTCCTGGAAGCAAAGGAGACTGCCAGGGATGGATCAGGCATGCAAAGAGATTCTTTCCCCGGTGTATAGCAAGAGAGGACATAAGGTGTGATGTAGATGAGAGCATGGGGCCAAATGTAGTAAAAGGGGTTGACTAAAACATGCATTACTGTACCTGTGACTGAATTTTTTTTTAGTACTACAGTACCGTTTTTTATTACTGTAAAGTACATCAATATTGCTGTATTACTGTTTTGGCATTTTTGTCACTTTTCATTTGTCTTAGATTTTTTTCTGTTGCATGTTACGTGGTGGTTCACTGTATAGAGCAGTGCATGTGCAATCCTCTTTTGTAATGGAAAGTTTGTTAAAAAAGATTAAATACACAAAGAACAAACGAACATCTATAATTACAATATAGAGAAACTTGAGAGCACAACATTATTTGCTACTGTAAACTACTGTAATGCCACTTGTCTTTAGTGTTTTTCAAGTCGTGGTGCTATTATGGACAAAGTATTCTTGCTGGAAGCAAAAAGGTGCTGGTGTTTTGATAGGATTATTTTATTTTGAGAAAGTTTGCAGTGTTTTGATAGCTTTAGTACATGTTGGGTGTGAAATGAACAGTTGTGCCAAGCTTCATGTTGGTGTAGAGAGTTATGAAGAGTTTTGAAAAGGTGAACTTGCTATTGAAAAACACTTGTTAGCAATTGTAAAAAACTAATATGATCAAATGTTTGCATGGGATTACCAAAATTTACAAGATATAATACAATTTAATTCATATTAATACACAGTTTTATCTCAACTATAACGCAAACAATAGCCTTGACTCTTCCTGTCCCAATATTGTTGGAGGGAAGTGTATATTTAGTAAAAAAATCAAAGCATTTTATTATATACCTAAACATCCACTCATGTAATTGAGTATGTTTGTGGTCTAGGAATCAGGCATGTGTACATTATTTTATTATTTTCTCATTGGCTTACCTGCATCAGCTCTGGATCTCTGGCCCGCTGTCTTCCCGAATGGGGTCTTCATTCATCTGTATTTAGCTGAGCAGCAAAGCTGCCTGACTAGGGTGAAAATATCAATGATACCCTATTCTATGATGAGCCTACAAGGGGAGAAAAACTTCTTCACCCCACCATGCAGACTGGCAGCAGTTTTTCCTAAGTAGAACTTGATCTTCAGAGTTTTCAAGTTGTTCCACAGTTCAGGCAGGTCTCCAGAGTCCTGCAAAAAAAAAGACACTTTGTTTCCCTTGTACATTACAAACAGAAAGAGTTAAGACCTTCATAATATTAACAAATACAGCCTTTCAAAACAAAAACCCAGTCTGCTAGTCAAAACAGTTTCTTATTCAAGAGCTGCGGAACTTGCATGTTCTTGAACCCTGAAACCAGACCATTAAGATCAATAGTTTAGTAGTACCATATACATTGATAATGTCCTTTAATGCACTTTTTAAAAATGATTAGCATTTTCAGGCTTAGGATCTTGTTTAAAGATGGTTTGCCATATAAAAAGTTTTACTTATCAGCATTTGAGGGAAGATTTAGATTTTAAGCTACCCAATGCCCCCACCAACAAACACACAATCAACTTTCCTGTATCCTCTCATTAATACCCTTGTAGGGTAAAAGGGGTATTTTATCTTCTCAGGGAACACTATGTCCTAGATGAAATTGTTTCCTTTTGCAAGGAAACAGGAAAATGTACTACTGTGAAACTAAAAGAGGAAAGTGCTATAGTACAAACCTACTTTTAAAGTGTAACACAACCAACTCAACACCTTGAGTGCTTTATAAACCATGATAGACAGTCTTTTATATTAGACAAAGGAGACCAATGTAAATACTGGAAAAAAACAACCTTGGTCATGTGTAGTACAGCTCGGTACAGATAAATAAAAAATATGAAAATGATATACAAAATATTTTTTTTGTATTTCATGTGGGCGCCTGCAGTGGCATGGCGGCAGTGGTTAGTGGATGATGGGGTTTCTGGGATGCTATCTGGCTGTTTGTATGGGTTTCCTCTGGGTTCTCTGGTTTCCTCCCACTGTCCAAAAACATACTGGTGGCTTAACTGGCTTCTGGGAAAAGTGTCCCTGTTGTGAGTATGTGCGTATCTGTGCCTGTGTGTGTCCTTGCGATGGAGTGGTGTTCCGTGTAAGATGTATACCACCTTGCGCCTGTAGCTAGCAACCCTGAACTGAATAAAGCAATTAGAAAATGTATCTATTTATTTCTCCAAATTTATAGGGAAGGGTATTTTTACTGAACAATTGTCTGACAGATGAGGGGTGTTACTTAGGGAATCTGCCATTACACTTTAGAAGCAATTTGTAATCCTACATGATGATGCACAAAATAATGGGGATGTTATAAAGCAGACATTACAATTTCCTAGGATTAATCCTTTAACAAGGCTGGATTTTCTATGTGAAAAACACTATGGTAAAATCAAATAATCTAATCATATTGTATCCTACTTTATTATCACGGACAAGCATAATAATTCATAAAATACATATACTGTAAATACTAGTACTACTATACACCTAAAAAAAGCACAATTATTTTTTTTCTTAAATAAAACATACTCTTTGCCACAGCTAAGGTAACAAGCTTATGCTATTCTCTCCAAGGTAGGAGCAGGAGCTATTTAATATGCTTGGAAGCACTAACAGCTGATGCAGGTTATGAATCAGATTAGCACAAAATACCATGAAACTAGTTAATATAACGCCTACAAAGGTGGAAAATTACCACTTTCGATTACAAAACATTTGGCCATAGCCTTTAAGACAGCTGTTGAGAAAAAATATATAAAAATACAATTTTAGCTGCAGGCTGAGTGTGTTTTTATTAACATAATGAGGAAGACAGCAGCAGGAGCTCAACAAATTTTATTTATTCATTTATTCAGAATGAGAATTTGTTCAATGTTCAAATAAAAGCAAACCTTTAGGATTAAATATTTTCTTTAGTTTTTAATATTCAGTGTTTAAATTCATATTTCAACTTAATTATGACACCAATTCAGGACTGTGGAGCTGAAATCGAGAAAAAAAAATGCTTTTTAATATAATTAAACTGTCATGTAAAGTTTGTCCTTATTTGGCCAAAACCAATACTTTCAAAACTGTGTCCATTATTGCTGGCCAACAAGAAAACAATATTGCCAGTTGCTTTTTAACAGAAAGGTGTGTGTTACCTATTCCACTGAATTTGCATGAATAGAGTTTTTCATTGTGCACTCTAAAAATTACAATTAGTGACACCAGTTTAAAAATATTACAGTACCATCAAGTTGCTGGGTATTAGCAATGAGCAATATCACAAGTGATTAATCAAAACTGTGGAATTAACATATCTCAAAGTAAACACAATTTTATATAAATGTAGATTTATAATGCAATTTGAGTACCTCTCAAGAGGACACAAAACCTCATCCATTATAGCCCAAAGTTGTCACTAGATATCTCAGGGCTTAACAATAAACTACACTTATTAAACGAAATACATTCAATAGGAGTTCAATAGGTGTGACATTCAAACACCATTTCAATAACCAACCACCCAAGGGCAAGTCTGTTCTAAAAAAGAGGCTAACAGGAACAAAAACCTACATCTGACCAATATGAAGAAATTGCAAACAAAAAGATGCAACCTCTCTAAATTCTACTCACTCTTTAACAAAGCCAAGGTTTATCCTTATTCAGTAATCATCTTTTTCAAACATGAAACTACATTCCTGATGGTTTCAGGATTTCCAGACTGCAGTCTCTCCCACCTCTCCTATTCTCTACTGTGAATCAAGACACCTACAGTATCCCTATGCAAACACATTTTTAAAAGAATTAAGATAATTGTGTGTTGTTACACTGTGACTGATCATTCACAACCGACCATAAAATATTCTATATATATATAATCAATAAAATCGCCAGACTTGATGAGCTGGGATGTCATGTGCCATCTAGGATTCAAAAACCAGTGAAAAAGAAAAGCACATACAGTACTTGTCCAGGCTGTATGAGAGAAATGAGAACCTCATAAAACAGCATCTGCAAACTGCTGCAAAGAGTGACTCACAGATGTACAGTTTGTATTGCTTCAAACAGTGGCCACACACCATGCAAGCCTGCGACTTTCAGATAGCAGAACCACACTGAATAACTGTGTTGTTGAGCAAAATGAATTATCCGATATTATCGGTTCAAGTTCAAGTCTTGCACTTGTTACAAAAAGTAAATTAGTATGAGTTAAAAGTTTCTTATTTCCTTCTGCATTTTTTCTTGGTATGACTGTTCCTTTTATCCTTCTGTTCCTTATACTCCCTTGTTATTCATTATAAGTAGAAGTGTATGGATAAATTCTGTCTGCAAACTAACATGACTGAATACTGGCATGGGCAGAGTAGAACTGCATCCAACACACGTTGCATTTTGAATAAATACAATTTTTGTCATACATTCTAGATCTTCTAGATGCCAAGCACTCTACCCAGTATATTCTAAGTGGAAATGTGGACCAGGTTGTGATTTGGGGATCACAGGATGAATGAAAAAAAGTAAATATTGACATTTACACCAGAGATGTGCCAAACTCAAGCTGCACAGCTGCCATAAGAGGGATTCCCCTGTTCTTACTGCACAGAAGCTTGAAAAAAGTTCAAAATCAAAGTTGTTAAGGTGTTGATTTTTGAATTTGTAGAAAGAAAAGGCAAAGAAAATACAAGCAAGTGACAAAATATTAGGTGTTTATTTGCATGAAACATTGCTTTACCATTGTATGTGGGCTTTACTATTCAGGCCATTTCCAAAGATGAGACAACAAATTTACAAAAAATAGGCATTATTGTACATCACACCTTTCGCACATTTGAGTTTGACAGACTGACATTAGGATAACACCAAGATCAGCTCATGGAAGTGGGGTGTCACTTGAAAGTGATAGCAAGTACTTTAACATCCAAATAAGTGGGGCAGGTGTTTTCACAAATAAAAACTCGGATATCAATTGGTCCTGAAACTAGTAATACTTTGCAGAATTGTCATGAACACCTTTGTCCAATATTGTGTAAACATTTTTGGAAGTCACTGGACACATTTACAGTTCTGATTTTGTGGATCACATCCACGATAATACCTACATCTATAAAACCAAAACCTGTTGCACTAACTTCAGTCACACTTAAATGTTTTGAATGAATTGTTTTGTTCCGACTTCATTCGGCAACCAGTGCACTCAAGGACCCCTATCAGCTTGTGTACACAGCAAAACGTGTAGTTAAAAGATGCAAATGTTACCTCGTTAAATCAAATGTGCAAGCATTTATAAACTGCATTATTCTATGTGTGCATTCTTTTTGATGATGTATCTTTGGAATTTAATACTATTCAGGCAAACAGGTTGGTACGGATTTGATAAGCCACTATGACAACTGTTTGATTATTAATGATGACAGTTAGACGAGAGAGAAATCTTTTTTAGAATTTGTCTCAGTATAATTCACAGTTTTTAAACACAAACATAACAAAATAAATGATAATTGATTTTAGAAAGAAATGTTCTATACCTATGATCCTCATAAGTGTTAATGGACCTGATTTTGAAACAGTAAATTAATACAAATACCTTGATGCTATTATCGATTGTAAATTTACTTGACAATCTGTATGAGGGATCCATTAAATATGCTACTTATTTCAACAAAGAAAACTCCCCTAATTTTCTCTGGAGATGTGCCATAATTCAAGTTATGTTTGAAGACAATTGAAAAATCAATTGATGAAAGATCCTTTGAAAATGCCAATTATTAAAACAAGACCTTTGCATCCTCTCTTTCAGAGGTGTGCAGATATAGATTTAAATCTATATCTGGCTATATCTGCAACTATATTGGGAGTTTTTTTTAACTAAACCTCATGAACTGTGGGGAGTTCAGTCGAATTGGATAGGCTTTATGGACAGGGCTTGTTAACCACTCAAAATGAACACACAGCTTTCTGAATGGAAGACAGGCAGAATTCAATACATCCTACAATACAATTAGTTCTTGATATAAGCACTGTGTATCTTTCTAATGCATTCTCATGTAAAAGTAGTGGAGTCTAATTTACGAATATGTGCTGATGGTTGGAGGCCCAGAACTAAAACACTGAAGCCCGAGAATTTGCTTCTCTTCTTGGCACTGAACAGCTGCAATGTGGATTCTGAAAGTGG